AAAAAACTGTGACCATATAAATATAGAAAGTGATAAATATGATGCAGTGACTATTATTAACGCTCTGGGGACGAGGGCATCGTCGACCACGTATCTTTCTCGTGTATTTCAGTTTATATCTCGCTGAAATTTCGCTGTAGAATCATGAAAAAAACACTGACTAAATCCGTAATCGGTCTTCTTTTCACTACCCAGACATGTGCTCTTGTTTATTTCGGTCACAATGGGCGGATTCACATATTTCTTTACCCAATACTAACTGTCGGATTATCATGTTATCATCATGCGAATAGCGCGATTTGCAAGTGGGAAGGCGATCAGAGCTGCTTCGAGACGCAGACGCTTAAGTCAGTCACTCTTGTTCTTTCTATTCGTATCACGAAGCTGTAAAAATATATTTAGTTTCTACCTATATATATTTTTGAAAAGTAGACCATCCAAGGTTTCTGAGGATGTTTTTTTAAACGTGTAAATGACAAAAACTCGCAGTGTCATTTAAAAGGTTTGGCGAAATTTCTGTCAGGTCCCGCCGGTGGGACCGCCGACCCCAGAGGGTTAAAGGGCCTGATTCCAGGGCCCAGTGGTAGTATCATTCTGCCAGACAAGGGGTTTGAACTACTGTAGTAATCTTCTGATCACAGGCACAAAGTCCTAACCTGCGGAGCCACATGTTGGTCTGGCCAGACACCATCGTGCCACACTGGCATCCTGGTTTTGAGCTGTTGTGTCTCATTCTGCTCATACGAGGCCCTAACATTTATCTCGTCGGCCTTCCCTGTGGCATCCTTCCCATCCACTTGTGATTGCTCTTTTTATTATTCATTCCCCCCCCACACCCCATCCATCTGCATGACAATCTGTTGCCAGTTTCACAGACACGTTTCTTTCCTTTCTTCCTCCAGGGAGCTGAATGAGATCAATAGGAAACACATCACAGAGTCTGTCAACTCACTGCGCAAAGTGAGTCCCGTTAGCCGAACCCGGGCCGAGCTGGTCCTGTCGGGCCTCTGCCTGGCCGTGGCCTTTGGCGCTGTGTGCTGGACCCTCCCGAGGCCAGCTGTGCCCACAAAGCCCTCTGTCTGTCTCTTGCTTTTATGTAATTTTTCATCTTTTCGCGGTTTGTTAGAATCAAGGGAAAAATGTGTGTCTGTCTCTGCTTATACTGTTTTTCCCTGTGAGTGTAGCACTGGGTTACCTGTAGCGGACAAACGCTGCACATTAACAACAGAATACAGTCTCCATCCTCTGTCTCTGGGGCGACAGGCAGCTGGTCGCCTAAAGTAGTGTCTCCCAATCCATTCCTTGGGGACCCTCAGATAGTCCACATTTTTGCTTCTGTTTGTGGACTGACTGGCATGGAGCTGGCAGGGAGCAAAAACCTGGACCACAGGGACTCCCAGAGGACCGGGTTGGGAGACACGGCCTTTAAAGCCCCGTGCTAATGCAGTGACCTTTCTGCGTTAGTCACACTGTCCTCCAGACATCCAACTGGCAGTCGGTAAAAGTGGCACTGTGACCTCTGCATCTGTCCATTCGCAGCTGGACGAGGCTCAGAAGAGGCGGCAGGATAAGCTGGTTCTGCGCCAGAGGGAGGTTCTGCAGCACATCGACGATGAGCTCCCTGTGGTTTGTGCTCCCGTCTCGCCTCAGCCTGCCTCCTCCGCCTCCATCCACATCCTTCTCTTTATCCCCTGTCTTTTGTCAGCTTTTAAATATTTGCCCTTAAGTGTTTTGTGCAGTTGGTTCAGCATGTGTTTTTTTTTTTGTTGATTTTTCTAGGTGCCTTGTACACATCCATCCATACGAATGCTTGTTTTATTGCCTTTCTTGTGTAAGCTGCTGTTCCTGAGATGGATGCTTTTGTTTTCTTTCTCCACCTTAGCAACAGGCCCGGCTAGAGAGAGAGATGGATGCTGAGCTGCAGCGACTGCCAGAGGAAATCTGCCAGTACCTGCAGGGGGAGCTAGAGATGAACCTGGGCTCCCTCTCCAACAATGACAGCACGAGCTCTGGCCCGCCGTCGAACAGCAGCACGCCGCCGTATTCCCCGCACAATCGCAGCTGGCACGAAGGACAGACCCTGGACAATAGCGCAGCCTCATTGGCGGACTCGTCATCCTCCAAGACACCAGTCTTATCAGATGCACAGCTGACGTCAGTGTAACTTATCAGAATTCCCTCATTAAACTTTGCTCCATGCCTCCTCCCATACGCTCACTGACCTAGAAATAGTACTATTACTTAATTTTGTTTTAAGTATCTAAATGTTTTTTGTTTTTTTTTTTTAAATTCCTACCCCCTAAGGCTATTGCTATTCTTCTGAGAATTTTTACCAAAGCTTTTTGCTCTTTTATTGGTATGGGTTTCTATGAATGTTTTAACTTGTTAGACATCCTTACTCTTATCTTGGTGAAAACTGTGGACATGAAGGGCACATTTTAATTCAGAGGTAAATTACTATTTATTTATTAGCTTTGCAATTGCCTGTGTGTAGTGTGTGAATCTGGCCACCAGGTGGTGGGCTACTGCAATTTAGCGATTTAGCTTTGTGACAGTGCCGGGCTGCGTTGTATATTATAACATAGAAAGAACTTGTTTACATGATGAATTGCACCCCGATCCTTTTATAGCCAAGACAGTAATCCAGTTATTCTGACACCAGTCAGCAAACATTACAAATAAGAAGTGCATTAATGCTGTTGATATGGTAAAACGGTCCTGTAGTTGTCACTAGACAGTGGATCTGAAAATGAAATGGGGAGGATTTCCAAGTTGGTTGTGTGAGATGAACAAGACATTTGGTTGGAAACTACTTTCTTAAAAAGTGCCAGATTGGGCTTGGGGTTTGCTGTGTAAATCTGTGGTTGGATATAATGTATTCCTGCGTTGATGGCCTGACGACTGGCCCCACCCCCTCATAATTGGATGACCGTGCCCCCCCTTCCTGGCTTTGTGAGAATGTCACCTCATACCGATGGATGACTTACGGAGCCCAGGCATCCAATTTCACCACGGTGATATTTTTTGTATCATTAGTTTGCTTAACCAGATCATCCTCTTGCCTATAATCACCCCCCCCCCTCCATCTGTCTCTGTGCAGCTGCGATGGCTGCTGTCAGCCTCTGTCCCGCTGCGGGGGCTAAGGGGTAGATATTAGTGACTTGTGGATTCCTGCTGGAACAGGCTGCCGGCTAGAACAGGGTCAGTCTGCAAGCGGCGCCACAGCTGCACGCCACTCAGACGGACAGTAGATACAGTAATAATGACTGTATTGGCAGCTTGCCCCCCCCCCGTGGCTGACGTCACACATGCACACAGCCCCATGACATACAGCTCCAGACGGCCCTTCGGAGGGCCATGTGACAGGCACAGGGGAGACGGGCAGAGCCGTAGTTTGGTCCCTCTCTCCATCGGTATCAGCAGAGGCTGCTCCATCACTTCTGTCTTCTATTTCACGTGAGTATTTAGTGCCTGATTTAGTGAGAAAGCGGAGTAGATTTTATTTTTTTTTATACGTCCTTATGTGATCTGACTGTTTGGTTTTTGAATATGAATTTTACTACTGACTAATGGTGGAAATGGGGGGGGTGGCTGGGCTGAGAGGGGGGGGGGGGGGGGGGGGGTGTCTACCCCCCCCCTCCCCCCCCCCCCCCCCCCCACCTCCCCCATGCCACCTGCTGCCTGTCTATCTATCAAGTTACTTTGCGGTGGGAAGATCTGACATAATCGTCTTCGGGACAGGAACCCGCGCTGCGTCGTGCTCCTCTCACACTCAACTGCGGCGTTTGGGTAACAGATCACACTGACAATTTGGACAAACTAATCTATGGGTCTGAAGAAGTTAGTCTTGTGTTACTTGCCCATTGATGTTTACCGTTCTTGGACAGGATCCTCTGCACTAGCATTTGGTTTGCAAACCGGTGTCCGGAGTGTAGTCCGGCCTCCACATTATGGAGGAGGGGCTTAGCGTGTACAGAAGCAGAGTGCCGTCATGCTGTCCTCTATGTTCTGCTATTAGCTCATTTAAAGCAGTGTTTCTCGAACTGATCCTCGGGGATCCTTGGTCGGTCCAGGTCCAAGCCAGTGGACAGTCTGGCTGGGGATCGTCTCAGGGTCCCTGGGGACCGGAATGAGACTCACTGGTTTTAAAGGTTATTGTCCTGTGTTGAATGACTGTCACGTTTGTCACTGAAAGTGCTTTTCCAGATTAACTCTGGGAGAAGGGAACATGTTCTCTTTTTGTAAATTTAGTTTTTGAACTGTCGTCTTTCTTTTTAAAAGACTAAAAGTGTAATCAATGTGTGTGGTTTGTCCCAAAAACTTAAAAAAAGAAAAACAACTATGTCCTGTCTGTGGTAGGAAATGCTAGAACCACCACTGTAATCCCGTGTCTCTTTACCCTTTATGTGCCGCCAGATGGCCTCCAGACAGTGTGTGCTATTGGAATTGGGGCTTGTACCTTTACACGCTTCATCCTGTAGCTCTAGAATACCCAGCCAGGCCAGTGCATCCATACCACAGTTTGACAGCAGTGCCTCTGCTGGTTGAAAAGGAGATTGCTGTTCGTTATCCAAATCCAAATTAATTTTTGTGCAAATTGAGAGGTACGTGTTGCTGTAAGATACATTCGATTGGCTGACCTACCGTAATGGTGCAAGAGTTTGCCACTGCTGGCCTTTAAACGCTGTGAAGTCCAGCGTTGACATTTACTGAATCCAGGAAGGTCAAGCCTTGTTCAACAACTGAAAGGAATGCAGTGTCCTCTGGGTGTTTAATAATTACTGGGTGTTTCTAATGACATTTACAAATGACTAGTGGCTGGAAACTGGGCAGTACTTTAAAGGGATTCTTTAATTCTAGATAAGATTTTATATATATATATATATATATATATATATATATATATATATATATATATATATATATAT